TTCACCCCAAAATCCGGGAGTGACCCCAAGTCCTGGGAGTGACCCCAAAATCTGGGAGTGACCCCAAATCCCAGGATTTCACCCCCAAATCCCAGGAAGAGAGGCAGGGTAGAGCCCCCCGAACCCTTTGGGAATGATCCCAAATCCAGGGAATGGCCCCAAATTGTGGGAACAGCCCCAAAACCCAAGAAAGACCCCAAAATCTGGGAATGATCCCAAAAGCAGGGAGTGACCCCAAATCCCAGGAATGGCCCCAAATCCCAGGAATGGCCCCAAAACACGGGAATGGCCCCAAAACCCAGGGATGATCCCAAATCCAGGGAATGATCCCAAAACCCAGGAACAGCCAAAAATTCTGGACATGGCCCCAAAACCAAGAAATGGCCCCAAAACACGGGAATGATCCCAAAATCCCAATGGAATGAGAGCAACCCCAAATCCCAGGAATGGCCCCAAAACACAGGAATGGCCTCAAATCCCAGAAACTATCCCGAAACCAGGGAGCCACCCCAAATCCCAGAAATTACTTCAAATCCCAGGAATGATCCCAAATCCAGGGAATGATCCCAAACCCCAATGGAATGAGAGCAACCCCAAATCCCAGAAATGGCCCCAAATCCCAGGAATGATCCCAAATCCTGGGAATGATCCCAAACCCCAATGGAATGAGAGCAACCCCAAATCCCAGGAATGGCCCCAAAACACAGGAATGGCCACAAATCCCGGAAATGGCCCCAAATCCCAGAAATTATCCCAAAATCCCAATGGAATGAGAGCGACCCCAGATCCCAGGAATGGCCCCAAATCCTGGAAATGGCCTCAAATCCTGGGAATGATCCCAAACCCCAATGGAATGAGAGTGACCCCAAATCCCAGGGATGGCCCCAAATCCCAGGAATGATCCCAAATCCTGGGAATGATCCCAAACCCCAATGGAATGAGAGTGACCCCAAATCCCAGGAATGGCCCCAAATCCCAGGAATGGCCCCAAAATGGCCTCAAATCCCAGAAATGACCCCAAAACCAGGGAGCCACCCCAAATCCCGGGATCAGGGCTGGCCCGAATGCCCCAAATCCTTCGGGAACGACCCCAAAACTTTGGGATTCGAGCCCGGGAATGGGGGAAATTCCCGAAATCCCAAAAGGGCCCCGGAACGCCGCTCACGTTCTTGAGGAAGTGCCGGGCCACGATGGCGGGGCTGAGCTCCCAGCTCCGGTTGTTCTTCATCCCCACCTGGAGCCGGCAGCGCCGCAGGAATTCCAGGGTCTGGAAAAGCGGGAATGGGCGCCGGGCTCGGGGCCAGTTCCCGGGATTTGGGGGTTTTTGGGATGGGGGATTCCCCCGCTCACCTTCTGCCCGCTCAGGGTTTGGGGCTCCTCCAGCTTCCCCTGCTGAGCCAGCTGGGGGGAAATGGGAAAATGGGAATTTTGGGGGGTGGGATTGAGGGAATGGGGGGGGAAATTGGGATTTAGGATGGAAAATGGAATTGAGGAAATGGGGGAAAAAATGGGATTTAGGATGGAAAATGGGATTGAGGAAATGGGGGAAAATGGGATTGAGGATGGAAAATGGGATTGAGGAAATGGGGGGAAAATGGGATTGAGGAAATGGGGGGAAAATGGGATTTAGGATGGAAAATGGGATTGAGAGGGAAAATGGGATTGAGGAAATGGGGGGGAATGGGAAAATGGGAATTTTGGGGGGTGGGATTGAGGGAATGGGGGGAAAAAATAGGATTTAGGATGGAAAATGGGATTGAGGAAATGGGGGGAAAATGGGATTGAGAGGGAAAAGGGATTGAGGAAATGGGGGGAAATGGGAAAATGGGAATTTTGGGGGGGTGGGATTGAGGGAATAGGGGAAAAAAATTGGGGGGAAAATGGGGGAAAACGGGATAGAGGCCCCCCAAAGGAATACTTTTGGGGATTGAGGCTCCCAAGGGAATTTTTTTAGGGATTGAGCCTCCCCAAAGGAATTTTTTAAGGCTCAAGCCTCACCTTAGGATTGCTCTCCCAAAAAAACCAACATCTCCCATCCCAAAAATCCCCAAAAAATGCCCTTAAAACATCCCGGGGGCTGATCCCAAAGAGCCTTCCGAGCCCAATTCCTGGTTTTTCCTGGTTTTTCCTGTTTTTTTCCTGGTTTTCCCTGGTTTTTCACTGGTTTCTCCTGGTTTTTTTCCTGTTTTTTTCCAAGTTTTCCCAGGTTTTTCCTGTTTTTTCCTGGTTTTTTTCCTGGTTTTTCCCCTGGTTTTCCCTGTTTTTTTTCCAGGTTTTCTCTCTTTTTTTCCTGGTTTTTCCTGGATTTTTTCCTGTTTTTTCCAGGTTTTTCCTGTTTTTTTCCTGTTTTTTCCAGGTTTTCCCTTTTTTTTTCCCCCAGGTTTTTCCTGTTTTTTCCCTGTTTTCTCCAGGTTTTTCCTGTTTTTTTCTGGGTTTTCCCCTTTTTTTCCTGTTTTCCCTGTTTTTTTCCTGGTTTTCCCTGGTTTTTCCTGTTTTTTCCAGTTTTTTCCTGTTTTTTCCCTGTTTTTTTCCTAGTTTTTCCCTGTTTTTTCCAGGTTTTTCCCTGTTTTTTCCAGGTTTTCCCTGTTTTTTTCCTGTTTTTTCCGTTTCTTCCTCTTTTTTCCAGGTTTTTCCCTCTTTTTTCCAGGTTTTTTCCCTGTTTTTTCCAGGTTTTTCCTGTTTTTTCCAGGTTTTTCCTGGTTTTTTCCTAGTTTTTCCCTGTTTTTTTCTCGGTTTTCTCTCTTTTTTCCCTGTTTTTCCTGTTTTTTCCAGTTTTTTCCTGTTTTTTCCCTGTTTTTTTCCAGGTTTTTCCTGTTTTTTCCCTGTTTTTTCCAGTTTTTTCCTGTTTTTTCTGTTTTTTTCTCGGTTTTCTCTCTTTTTTCCCTGTTTTTTCCAGGTTTTCCCTGTTTTCCCTGTTTTTTTCTCGGTTTTCTCTCTTTTTTCCCTGTTTTTTCCAGTTTTTTCCTGTTTTTTCCCTGTTTTTTTCTCGGTTTTCTCTCTTTTTTCCCTGTTTTTTCCAGTTTTTTCCTGTATTTTCCCTGTTTTTTTCTCAGTTTTCTCTCCTTTTCCCCTGTGTTTCCCTGTTCTCCCTGTTTTTTTCTCCTTTTCCCCTGTGTTTCCCTGTTTTCCCTGTTTTTCTCGTTTTCCCCTGTTTTTCCCGTTTTTCCCTGTTTTCCCTGGTTTTTTCTCCTTTTCCCCTGTGTTTCCCTGTTTTCCCTGTTTTTTTCTCATTTTCCCCTGTGTTTCCCTGTTTTTCCCTGTTTTTCCCGTGTTTCCCTGTGTTTCCCTGTTTTTCCCGTGTTTCCCTGTGTTTCCCTGTTTTTCCCGTGTTTCCCTGTTTTTCCCTGTTTTTCCCGTGTTTCCCTGTTTTTCCCTGTTTTTCCCGTGTTTCCCTGTGTTTCCCTGTTTTTCCCGTTTTCCCGTGTTTCCCTGTTTTCCCCTGTTTTTCCCGTTTTCCCGTGTTTCCCTGTTCTCCCTGTTTTTCCCATTTTCCCGTTTTTCCCTGTTTTTTCCCTGTTTCCCAGCTGACCTCCCTCTCCCGCTGGAAGCGCCGCAGGTTCTCCGGGCTGGGGTACTGGGCCAGGCCCTGGGCCAGCAGTTGGTTCCTGCCCCGGCTCTTCCCGACGCTCACCACGTCCCCGCGGCCGCCCAGGCCTGGAAACCGGGAAACGTCACCGGGAACCGTCCCGGGAACGCCGGGAAAATCCCGACTTTACCCCCTCCTCAATCCCGACCTTACCCCTCCTCAATCCCGACCTTACCCCTCCTCAATCCCGACCTTATCCCCTCCTCAATCCCGACCTTATCCCCTCCTCAATCCCGACTTTATCCCCTCCTCAATCCCGACCTTACCCCTCCTCAATCCCGACCTTATCCCCTCCTCAATCCCGACTTTACCCCCTCCTCAATCCCGA